AGGGTTTAGAAAAACTGCTCGCTCTATTAAATAATGGAAAAGTGTCTCAAATAGCTTCAAAAGCGAGAAGTGCACTTTTAAAAATAGGAGCCCCAACCATAAATTTAAATGCTCAGAAGTGGGAGAAGGAGCTGAATATCCAAATCGCCAAGACCAAATGGGATCACGTATGTAACGGAATTGCTGGCACCACGACCGGGTACCTTCCGCTGACAGATGCTCCTAGTGCTTTCCGAGGTCTCCAAGTGTCATGTGGTATCTCTTCCGGGTTCGGCATTCCGCTATGCAGAGCCGGCCCCACCCCCTTCTGACACGGCTCTCTGACACTACTTAGAGAGACCGCGCCGGAGAGAAAGCGCTTGGTGATTGTGGGACCTACTTCCGGGTATAGACGCCGGCTCCACAAGCTTCTCTCACAAGCCTTCCTAAACCTTTGAAGATAAAAGGATTATGCTTCATCCGCTAGAGGATTACTGGAGAACGGACACTTTACCATTTAACAAGTGGACTCTAATATTGATCTCTTGGAGGACAACTCACATTAATCTTAAGTTTAACTTCCAATTTATTATCTGGAATCTCAGTTATTAATGAACTGTTTCTTGCTTGCTCACATCCTCTCTGCTGCATATTATATTGAGGATAACTCCCATCAAGCTTAACCACTATAAACTGTTTCTTGCTTTGCAAATATTCTCTGCTACCTGCATACTATTTGTATTGGAGATTATTCCTATCAACCTAAAGAATATTATTCAATACATCTCTGTGGAAATACTTATTGATGAACTTTGTATTGTTTGCTATAAACAGCAATTTCTGCTTATTGAATTATTACCTATATGCTTTTCACTTAAGTTTATCACAATCATTAAAACTTTGTTTGATTCTCTAATTGCCACCAATCCTCTCTTTTCTTGAAACTACAGTATTGATAATTTAAAGATTCTCCATTTCTTCACTATTGTAATTAAGGAGTTCTACAAGCTGCAGTTGAGTTCCAATTCTAAAAACCCTAGTAGCATAACACCAAGCACTCCACCGGACACCATAACCACTGCAGACCCCACGAACCGCCGCAGCTTGGTTGGGGTCTCGCCCTCTCCACCCACTCTGGACCCAAGGCCAGGGTCCAGCTTCCAGTAGGTCGACCTCTCCAAATTCCAGAGAGCAGGAACAGGAACAAGCTCTTAGCAGAGCTTAGTGATTATACCCTGGGGAGTATAGTGATTATAGCAATCCCCAGAGTGTAGTTCTCCAATCCCCCAAACATGAGCCAAATGTATTAATGTAATATTTCCAATGTTAAAGTAAGTTCACATAGAAAAAAACGACTAAGTCCCATTCGAATGCACAAATGGGCCTCGTTCGTGCAAATAACACAGTGTTACATGGCATTCTAATTGTCGAACGCACTTCGACTTTAGTTGAAGTGGGGGAGAAGGTCAGGGTCAGCGGTGTTCGTGCAAGTGTATAGCCAATTTTAGTTCCATGGATTCAGGGGCACACACCGCTGACCGCGTTCGACTGAGTTAAAATGGCCGCCACCACATGTTTGTTTGTCGAATGGCAGCCACTTCGACTACTTCGACAACGAGACACAGGTTTCTCTTATTTTTGTATTTTTTTTTCTCTTTTTCATCATTGACACCATATGACAAGTAACATAAAGGATGGCTCACTGTAATCCCCAAGGGTGATTATGCAACACTTTTCATGATGTTTTGTATTGTATTGTACTTTTATGATATAACGCTGTTTTGTACTGTTTGAGTTGTCACATATCTGTTTAAAAAGCAGAAGAAGATGGGTCATTTATAATATAAAGATGCTCAATATTATCTATTTTGTATAATTTCTGGATCCAAGTAAAAGATGACCCTCACTGTAAATGTATTTTTTATATGTATTATGAAAATAAAATAAATTGGTAAATCTGACTGAAATACATCCTTTGTTTTCCCTTCTGTAAAATGATGGGAGTTACTGTATAATCGCGTACACACAATATAACATACAATGTATGTTCCTAACAACTGCTACATTAGTGTATTTCATCCTGCCATACTTGCAACCTTGATGTACATTTTTCTTTTAATTAATCTAAAACTTTCCTAGAACACAAAAACAATGAATAAACACATTCATTAAAACAATTCAGTAAAACAACAAACAAAGATAGATCTCTATTCTTTTGCTATTCTTACCTCTGGAATCAGCCTGTGTACATCTGTTGGCACACATACCCATGTTCATTCTCTAAACTGACCATGTCTCGTGAAGTTCTCTGATTCTTATAACGTTGTGTTACACTGCATTGCTTGTCTGTCTCTTTTTTGTCTGATTATCAGTTTACAAGGAAAGACCTTCATTCATTTATCACTACATATATATCCTCTATACAATTTTTTAATCAACAAATTCAATTTCTCATTTCCATTTGATATCTTGGATACAATATCTGCAAGATCTTAAATAATGTTTTTTTATTGCACCAAAAACAAATAACTTTAGGAGTTATATTATGCCTTTGATTGTTAACTCTGCAGTTTCTAGTTGAGCACATTAGGAGGGGTTTAACTGTCTATATCACTCTTTTACAAGAAGGAGGAGGACTGTTAGATCTGGGCTTCTTTATCTTTTTTGTAAATCTGTTTTTATTGAGTGTTTTTTATATCAAGTTAGATATCAGATAGGAAGTTCAGTATGGGACTTGCATGTCCCAGTTACAACATTGATAGAACACATTTTGCTTTGCATATATTGACTTCTAGTTACAAGTAGGCAACAAGCTGTACATAGACCTCATCGTTAGTTGAGGAGCATTGCAAAAACGAAAGCAAAATACAAGGTACATATTAATTTCAAATAGAGGATAAAAAGTGAGGTAGCCAAATACTGTGTTACCATGAAGTTGCAATTTGTATGCTATCCTCAGAGGTACTCTTCCTCCTCTGTGTGACAGGACCTTATGGGCCGTTTTCTGTATCTGCCTAGTTTATTGTTTTCGTTGTATGCCAAGGTGTCTGAGCCTGTGTTGCGTGGGAGTCTTTTGTCACCTCCTCCTGTGATGCATTTACTGTTAATGCGTTTTTTGGTTGTTGTTTCCAGGTGATCTGGTGAGGGTATAGTCAGTGTTAGCGTCTTAGGGATACTCCGTCTGAGCTAGCGAGGCTCGCGTGTTTGTGTTAGGTGCTTGTTTCCTTCAGCTGTTCCTATTCCTGTGATCTGGAGTCTATTACAGCATGTAATACTCTTATTTATGAGGGTTGGTGGCCCCAGTGAGTGGGTGGCTATTATTACAAGTCGTCCCAGTCTGGAAGGGAGTTGAGTCTCCACCCCATATGCATGCCAACCCCTCTTCCATCCAGCCCCCCAGCTCTCTGGGATCTGAGATTAGGTAATTGGGTATAAGAAAGTAAGGAAAAGTCAGTTTAAAGGAGTGAAGCTGGAGAGGGAAAAGGTGTGGAATATGCAAGAAAGGGCTTGCACCTGCCGGCACATCGCCCCCGGGGCCGGGGATCCCCCCACTTTACGAGTAGTGGGTCATGTACAGGAACCACAGCTGCCACATCTCTGCGTGTTTGGTCTCCCTCCTGGTCAGGGAGGCATGAAGCGCTTCTGCCCCCTGAATATGCTCAACTCTGCAGATCCACTCTTTTTTTTAGTAGGCCGGCACGTTGGCTTTGACCGCATTTAACAGGTGGCATAGGATCAATTTCCTATAGAGTGAGATCAGTTGTGGAGAAATATGTAATGGTGCCAGTTCAGCCGACCATCCAGGTATGTCTCCCTGGATCAGTGTTACCGTTTCTTTGACCATCTCCCAGTATGGGGTTATTTCTCCGCATTCCCAACAAATGTGTAGCAGCGTACGTCTCTCCAGCACATCGAAGGAATCGTAGGAAAGATTCGGTGTAATAAGGTCGGCGTTCTGTACCAAAAGGAAATTAGTTTATAATTCATCTCCCTGTAATAGGAGCTCATTGTGTTTTTATGTTGCCATAGCAGCGCTTTGTCTCATTGCGATGTGGTGAACGTCTTACCCCTTAGTTCCTCCCATTGCCTCCGGAAGGTGTTGTTAGTCGTCTGTTCGCTTACTACTAGATACTGGTATAGAGCGGAGATCGTGTAGCGGGGCACCTCATTCGCAGAGGTCTTCAAACCAGGTTAGCTCTCTGTGTAGGCTTTGTGTCGTAGCACGTTATAGTAGTGCTTCAGTTGCATATATCGGAGGAGGTGGAGGGGGGGTCTGAGTTCTAACCTCCAGCAATGATGCTGGAGGTTAGAACTCATAAGGCTCTACATATGGGGATGTAGGCGGTGGGGATGCAGTCCCCGTTACCCAGGATGGTCCAGGCCTTGGGAGGCAGCCCTCCTCCTATTTTACCGTAATGTGTCACTGGTGTCAGAGGGCTAGGTGTGGGCGAGATGTGAGGCTGCCCTCGTAGTGATCTCCAGCTACGTAGTGTCTGCAGGACCGTTCCCTCACTGATACTCTTGTCCAATGTCCCCCAGTCTCCCCCCACACCCTCGTCTCCAGCGACGGTCCAGTGCATCCTCTTTCTAGGGTCACCCATTGTTTCCTCTGAGGGCTCAAGTGCCATTTCAGAATGAGTTGTAGCACCGTGGCCTAGTGATATTTCCAAAAGTCCAGCAGCGCCAGGCCTCCATTATGTCTGGACCGGCACAGAATGCATGTCTTAATCTAGATCGTTCTCCTCTCCACAATCTAATGACTGCTGTTTTTATAGCAGAGAAGAAGGTCGCTGGTAGAGCGAGGGGAATGGTCTGGAGGAGGTATAAGATTCTCAGGAGTACGTTCAGAGATGGGGCAGCCCTACTGGGTTTCATTCCTGATCTCAAAGTCGGCCATCTTAGTCCCATTGACCCCAACAGATGCCCGCGGTTTGTTGTATATGGCTGAAATCCACGTGAGAAGCTTCTGTCCAAGTCCCATTTGTCTCAGAGTCGCCATCAAATATGACCAATTGACGCGGTCAAATTGTAAAAGCCCTTTTTGTGCTGCAATGAGCGGAGGTGTTCTCATAATGAGGGCCTTCAGTTTTTGCCTCTGCTCTTATCAGTTCGCCGTAGATCTCATTTAACTGGGATCGTTTGTGTTGGTGTTCCAGCATGGAGATTGACATATACAGTTCAGCCTTCTCCAGCATGGCCGCCTTCCTCTTTTGCGAGGCGATACGGATGAGCGTACCCCGGATTACGCTTTTGTGAGCTTCCCATATTGAAATCGGGGATGTCCGTGCGGAGCCATTTTCCCGGATGTAGAGCTCCAAAGCCTCAGGGTCCCGGAGCAGTGACTCGTTAAGCCTCCACATCCAGGTCGATGGTCTGAATCTAGGAGATTTAGCTTCATCCTGACCGGGCTGTGGTCCGACCATGTGGCAGGTTCAATGGTGGCTCTCAATAAGCTGGAAAGGCCCTCCTGTTTAATGAAGAAGTAGTCTATGCGTGAGTAGCAGTTATGGAGTGCGGAGTAATGCGTGTAGTCCTTGGTAGATGGGTGGAGGATTCTCAAGCAGTCTAATAAGCCCTGGTTCCCCAGGGAGTGTCTAATGAAATGGATGCTGCGTTGAGAGATGCAGCTGTGTCCCGAGGACGAGTCTAGTGTCAGGTCCAAACTTGAAGCTACCAGCTACCAATGTTCCTTCCGCGAAGTCCCTTAGGGCGTTCAGTGCTCCCCGGAGGAAAGGAGCCTGTCGTCTGTTGGTGACATATAATGTTGGTGACATATAATGTGTAACAATTGTGTTTACAATTGTGTAAACAATTGGTCCGCTCTGATGCCTTTTAGGAAAAGGAAGCACCCCTGTGGATCCTGTATGCCAACTAGTTCTCTGACCTTGAGATCGGCTGCTATCATGATAACCACTCCAGATTTACGGGCTGAGGGTTGGTTGCAGAAGTAATTACTCGGGTAGTGTTTATTTCTCAGCTTGGGAGCTGCGCCTTTCCTGAAGTGTGTTTCCTGTAGCAAGGTTATCGCTATGTGTTTCTTCTCTAGTTCCCTCAGCAGGTGGGTTCTGCGTTCCGGAACATTAAGACCTCTACAGTTCAATGTGAGGACAGATTGCGGTAGGCGATCCCTGCTGCGTATTGAGTGTTCGCCGAGTATACAGCCCCGGTGGTCCGGATCCCCCCCGACTCCACGACCGCAGCCACCCAGGCCCTGCGTGTCACGAATGCACCCTACTCCAAGAGTGCGCATGATGTAGTTGTGGTTGTGAAAGGGTTAAAGTTCACTATTTGTCTGCACTAGACCGGAAATAATGACAAAATCCCCCCTTTAACACCACCCACACTTAAACATAATTATATAACTATTACTATTTTAACGCTGCCACCACCAAGACAATTTATAAATGGGGTGCCTTGGTCCCCCAGGTAAATCAACAATAAAACCCACCGAATATTACTTAGAACAATATTCAAGGAATTACAAAAATACTAGCTAGTCTCTTCAGGTAACGTGATTCTTAACCAGACAAAGACAAAACTTAATAAATGCATGTTTATTATGAGCAAAAGATATTCACAGTGCATATAACAATATATGATAAACAAATTATTTACACCAACAACAGATAAAAACAAAAAGGATAAAATACAGAAGTCCTTAGGTTTTCAAAGTACAACTGTCTCTGGCAAGGAAAGATGGTGACCCACTCAAAATTAGATCTTTGCCCCAAGCAAGTACATAAACACCCTTCAGGATCATTTTTAATATATATATATATATAAATAAATGGAACAAATTGAGAGCACTCATTGGATTTAGTAAACAAAAAAAATATATTAAATCAAACGCATATAAATCAACGTTTCGACCGTCTAGCGGTCTTTATCAAGATCTTGATAAAGACCGCTAGACGGTCGAAACGTTGATTTATATGCGTTTGATTTAATATATTTTTTTTGTTTACTAAATCCAATGAGTGCTCTCAATTTGTTCCATTTGTATATTTTGCACAGAGAGGCACCTGGTCATTGCTGAATTAATGCTTTTGCTATGGGATGAGTGCCAGAAACTATTGTGATTTTTATATATATATATATATATATATATATATATATATGTGATTTATCAAGTCTTGCCCAGGGGTGGAGTTAAGGCGTACCCATAGAGATACTAAGTGACTACCTCCTTTGTTCCAGAAAACAACCAGCCAAATATAAACTTTTGGTTTTATCTCCTCTACTGTACTTGCCACAGAAATAATAATTGCCTCTATGAATTTGTTATTATTTTCCCATTCCATAGACGTGTTGCATGACACACCCACGATCCAATAGGACAGACAGCACAATTCCTGCCACACGGTTTAAGTTGTGCAACTCATGTTTGGGCTTAATTAAGAGAGTGGGCTTATCCTATTTCAAATATAATAAAAATGAGGCTTAATTATTAAACTGTGGGTAAGTATTAATGTTTCTCTTGGATAAAATACTGGAACACAAGGATCTTCATGAAACTAATCCCATTACCATATCAAATGATTGAACTATCCTTTACAAAGTACATGCCAAATGGATGAATAGACATTCAGACTTTTTCCAAGTGTAGAACTTCACACCTTGCAGATCCTTGATTACTTCACATCCATATAGTAAAATCCTTTTCACATTCCTATGCCATTCACACTACCCCTACTGTCATCTGACCTCTGTGGGGGTCCCAGCTTCAAAAGATGTTTGACCTCAACAATACCATCTCTGTAATTTGTGCCATTTACTACACAAATTACATTAAAGGATAATATTCCATAGGGTAATAATAAATTATACACCCTTGCCGTGACACCGCGTCCCCGGCACAGACCAGCACTGAAAGAGTAAGGGAAAGAGGTGGGGTTATTAAGCCGGGGCACCGAGAACAGAGTCTGGGATGTGTCGGTGTGAGAAGTGAAAGTAGGTGTAGTAAAGGAGTTATAAAAGGGAGAGTTGGCCCGAAAGGCAGACGTCCCCACAGACACAGGGTAAGTCCTGTATCTAGTCCCCCTTGTCATGGGGGGGGGTACTCGTATTGCAACTAATACCGATTGGAGCTCCTCCGGTAACCAGCCCAGGAGGCGAAAACACCCCCAGCACAGTTGCAGGAAACCTACCACGAGCGTGGTTCGGGATACGCAACTCCGCCCAAGGATAAGGCAACAAGAGGAGTTATTATTATTATTATCATTATTATTATGATATTTATAGAGCACCGTCAAATTCCGCAGCGCTTTACAATGGGTGGACTAACAGACATGCAGTTGTAACCAGACAAGTTGGACACACAGGGACAGAGGGGTTGAGAGTCCTGCTCAATGAGCTTACGTGCTAGAGGGAGTTCTGGGCCAGTCCGCCCGACCTAGTTCCCCTTTAGTGAGGATAACAATTCCTCAATAGCGCCTTGTCCAATATAACTTATATACATTGTGTAGAACAAAATGCAGTAATATAAACATTTCTGAAACCAACATTCCCTGACATCCCTTTTGCGCCCGGATAACCTATGTACATCCAGCCTCCATCTATCTCATATTTCCTCCCTCCAAAATGGCCCATGCCCATTGAGCCGTTCATCCACAGGCCCCTGTGTGTGTGAGGCTCTAGGTTCCATCCCTCAGTTTCATTCCCTCTTCAGGGTCTCTCCCCCGTGATCCTGCTCTTAAAGTGTTATGTCTCGCATTGGCCCGTAAGTCGCAGGGGCCTCCAGCTGTCTTGGGCTACTGTGGTCAATCCTTAAATCCTTATGCCTAGTGTGGCCTGCGGGACCCCCTTGCCCCTCCACTTAACGGGAGTGGCGTAATCTAATTGGAGGGTGCTTGGTTGCCTGGGGGGGGTGTCTTCTGGGGGGGTAGGAAGTGGTGCTCATGTGGCAGAGGCTAAGGGCCTTGATGTTCAGGGGAGCCGTGTGTTCCCTCTTTCTCTAATCCGTGTCCTATTGTAGTCGGGCACTCATGAGTGGGGTGTCCGGGTACCCTAAACCCCTCTTGCTATGTGGTCGTCCCCGTGCTCAACGGTCTGGAAACTATGGCTTCCCTAGGCTTGTGTAGAGCATGGTGTGTGACATGAGACCCAACCCTTCCCACCCCTGTCTGCTGCCCCTGTGTAGAGGTTGAGGGGTGCTATAGTATTACATGGGTGTGGACCAAGGATAGAGCTTTTTTTTGTGTAATTATAGTTAATACTATTATCTAGCCTCCCCCCTCCAGCTTAAATGCATATACCCCTCCCCAACCCCCCAGAAACACAAAACTGGTGACAGTCCCACCTATAGTGCTCATCGTTATTGGATAACAAGGTTATGTTGTTTCTTTCAATTGTTGTTGCGGTCCCAACGGTCCCAGGATCCAGTTGGTGACCGGCACAGGCGTGGGGCCCAATTCCTCCTTGAACCTGTGAGGTGACTTTTGTGCGGATTCCCGCCACCTCCGCTCTCAGTGTGTCTTGAATGGTGGTAGTAAGTACTTGCAGGTCTGCCTTGGTGACCATGGAGGCTGCCAGGCTTTGCAGTTCGCCCCCATCCTGTCTAGTGCGGGATTGTCTGAGCCCCCCGGGAATGTCGGCGCCATCTTGGGTCTTCATGCCTCGCTGCCCACGCCAGACTGTGGCTGCAGAAATCTATCTAGGGGCCCCTGTTGTGTGCCTCTCATGGTCTGGGGAGGCTCAGGGCGTCGGTTGCACCCCATTTCGGGTGGTGATTCCTAGCGGCCCCGTGTCTTAACATGTGCGGGGATGTCTTGGCTATAGGCCGTGGAGGCTGCTCCTATCCTAAAGGAGTGCCCTGAGTAGTCGCTAGGGTTTAGTTCGAGCCCGGTGAATGAGTATGTGGACATAGTGCATGAACTTACCTGTGGTAAGAACAGTATCATACAGCAACAGTAATGGTTCAGTTTTGCATATGGTGGCGTGCCCAAGAACACAACCAGTACCTTAACCAGGCACCCAGCATTGCTTGTAAGGTAATAGGTTATATGCACTGGCTCGCCCATCTGACTCATCTTAGTTTTAGGAAGGGACTGGTCTGTGTGTTTTAGAAGATAAGAGGTCAACGGGCACTCTTGTTTATGATGTTGGCCGCTGAGTTGTACTGAGTTATTGTTTTGGTCTGAGAAAGCCGTTAAAGGCTAGATAGGTAGCAGTTTTGATAACTGCATTGGTGCGTGGCTCGGAAGGTGCATGGGCGAGTAGTTCTGACATGGTTTGAACATTGTATGTCTATGGCCAGTATTTAGTTTTAGCGGGAACGTCCGCTTGGCTATGTCTCTAAGTAAAGTATGGATGGGGTAGGAGGATCGGAACCCTTGTTGTTTGTGAAGGAGAAATATATATAGTGTTGAATGCCCGTGAGATACGTTTAACTGTGTTGTGTGAGAATTTTTAACTTAAGGTGGCA